CCTATCCCCTGTGTGCCTTGCCTCCCACGACTAACTCAGACACGACCCGTTGCCACCCCTAGGTGCTATGCCACCCGTGTTTTGGGCATTGATTACGATTTTTCGAGTGGGAACAAGAAACACGTTGGTGAGCATAGAAAATTCCCCTGTGAAAACCAATATTATTAGGAATAGACCGGCATCGAGCTAAAGAGACATATGCTCCGGTCAAAGCTGGTCTGACCACCAGTTGGTCCATATATTTTAAAAAATAAAAATAAAAATTTAAATTTAAATTATAAAATATATTATAAAAAAAAATTCTCAACTTTGTTTAACCAATCAGATCGGTTAGAACTAGATGATCGACCCGATAAAAACAACCAAACATTGATTTTGACTGCTTTTTAATCAAAGTTGCTTTTGCTCTAAACAAGACTAGCCAACACACAGAAAAGCCCGTACTGGTCTGTGTTCAGTGAACATGGTGCAAAACCGTCGCTTGAATAATTAGACTGTTAAGTAAACAATAATTACTTGTAACTATATTTTAGTTTAAATCAGGGTTGGGACTTGCCAAGGCAAGTTTCATTTATTGAAGGACCAACTCGGATGACCATATTGCAGAGGAAATAATAATGAAAGTAAAAAGCTCTTATCAATAGAAGCCAAGTTGTAATGCAAGGAGTGGCTCAAGGCTGAATAATTAGCGAGATTTGTGGGGATGGGCTCGGTCTTTAAGACCAACTAGCATATCAATGAGAAAAATAAATGAATAGAGAAATGTGGACATCCACTTGAGGAATGGGTCTTATAATGTGTATGGTGATCATATTGTACATTTAGACCGGCACCCAAAACACATGCCTAAAGGATTTTATTTGATTTTGATATGTTAACGGTGGGAATGGAAGGTGGGCCCTTCTGTTGAAGTATCCACCCTCTAACTACCAATGCCCCAACCCCATTCTCAACTAAGGGATCTATTTGACCTGAAGTTTCTCATATCACCTCTTGCTCATCCTAATATCAATTTTGGGAAGAAAAAACATATATCTTGTGCTCAAAATTTCCTAGATCTAAAATCCAATAAAGTAAACAATTCACTAGCTGACAACTACAGTATAAGAATCTGGGCCGTTGGTCTTACACTGTGGCCGTCAATTAGGGGCTAACCACATATTCTCTCTCTCTCTCTCCAT